AATCTCTGGGACCACATGCCACATCCACTGTGGATATCCTATAGACCAATCTCCCATAATGAACAGATATGTATTTTGATTACTATGTTATACAAAGGATCATTTCTCCTTAAAAATCATCTTAAAACACTGTGCAAGGTATTCCTGAAAAAACACAGTCAGAGATTTTGCAGTCGTCTTTCTATGCCTAACAGCAAGATAACATGTCATGCAACTGGCTCCTAGGAAGATCCAAAGTAATTCACCGTTTCCTTTGTGAAATTATGTTGTTGTTTTTTTAAATATACATCACATTTTCCATCACATGCAATTGTAAATTGAGTACATAAATTATTCGTGCAAAGTTACTTATTACTGCTATATACATAATCAGGAAAATTTTGGAAACTTTTGCTGCTTTTCGGGGGGTCATCTTTACAATGTGAGTAAACATGTAAGCTGTTTTCCTACCAAAAGGAACTAGCTAAACCATTTTTATGAGATTCGTTGTCTATCTATGAAGTCTGCCTTAAATTGTGGAGGGTTGGTATTTCATTTGTTTTGTAACAAGATGCACCAAGATCATCTTATGCAAATGTGAAACGTGTTTACTTTAAGAAATTATTTGGGGCCTCAAATAGTTCATGCACTGAATCATTCTCAACTAAAGAATGCAGAAAACCAAAATCTTACTTTTACCTTTACCCAACCCCAAAACACCCATCTGGCTGGGATCCCTCTCTTTCAGTACTAAATTATAAGAACTTTGTCCTCCCTCAGCACTAAAACTCAGTTTACTTAAGTGCCTCCTTGTCATACATCTGTGAACAGTTTAATAAAGAAACATTACAAAATTGGTAGGACCTCTGATTTGTTGGTTTGCTTTGGCTGTTTTTCAAAAAAATGTTGTAACACCTTCACATCCAAAAAACTTACAGTAATATTTGTACTTATTAACTGGAGTATACAAAATATTTGCCTTGTTGCTGAAATATCCCTGTAGCGCTACAAGCAATTAACATTTATAACTACAAATTTTGCTAAGATAAAAGAATATCAGAAATCTACTTCTTCAGAAATAATCATTCTAACAACTAGAGGCCAAATTCTGCCTTCCCTTACAGTCATGCAATCACATTTGTTAACTATTGTGAGGGCAGACTTTAGCCCCAAACGACATTTTTATCTAAATACATATATTTTCCTACAGAAAAAACAAGCTATGTCTTATCACTGCTCTTCCCTTCTGAAGGGTAAATACTGATATTTGAAATACCTAAATTGTATTTACAGCTGTACAACACTGATGCCACATACTTGCAAAATATCACTTGTACTCTATAAACATGGGGTAACTTTTACAATCGGCTTAAAAACTTTTCTTAAAATAAAGAAAGAGCAGACAAGCTTAGACATTTTCTTTGTCAAATTCACACACAAAATACATGGTAATATGACACGCAACATCATTCCACCCTCCAGATGCCACCATCTCCACACAGTCCTCCTCATCATAAGCATTGTTGGGCTCCCCACTGCGCCATTTGTTGAAGGTCTGCATGGGCGATCGGTCAGAATAGACAAAATTTCCCTCTTTCTCTAGGTCGTTAATCCCAATGAAAACTCTGGTGAGCCCGGCCTGGTTGATGTACGAGGCGATCAGATTGTTGGCAGACTCATCCTTCGGCATGCTCAGCGTCCCTCCTCTTCCGTGGCAGTAGAGCTGGGCTTCCTTGTATCTTTTCTCTTCCTTCACCAGCAGATATATCTTATTATCTGTCTCACGCACACCAGCAACAGCTGCGGGGGAGGGCAGTGCTGAAAAGTGAGCACTCGCATTTCTATAAACCAACTTACTGTACACCCCAAAATAGCTTCACAAATCAGATGCGGGACGGTGACGCCCTCTACGAGCAATTACACCAGTAAAAAGAGGCAACAAGAAAGGAAAATATTTATATAAAATTAACCTACCATTTTTTATGAATTTTAGTTCCGTTGTCAGCTGGGCCACTTGGATATCCATTTCACCAATAGCCTTCCTTAGCTGGCTGCACTCACAGGGGATGCCTGTGAAATGATACAGATACACAAAAAAGCAAAAAGCCATCTAATTTCAATAACTATCTAAACAATTTTATGAAAAGGCCCAGCCTGGCAGCCCTGGAGAGGGCTGTCTTGCAAATAACAGACAGAAACTTAGAGCCTTCGCTACTCTGCACCATCGTATGGTTCTCATGGGTGTCTGAGCCTATCCAGAACAGCTCAGTTCACTTCCCATGCAGCTTCAGCCCTGCATGATTAGCACTAACCTAAACACAGACAGATATTCCCTGCAAAAAAAAAAAAAAAAATATTTTTTTTTAACTAAGAACATTTGTCAAAATTTCCCATTTTGAGAAAAATTATTCTCTTCAGTCTTCTCCAAACAGCACTTTTGCCACAGCAAAAATCTGCACAGTGCATTGTTCACCTGTTCCTCATGAGGAACATAACACAGCAGATCCATAAGGCCATGTAATGCACATAATTACCTGCAAATGTAGTTCTGTACTTTTGAAAGTACAGAATTTACGGTACTTCTTCCAATAAAATAAGACAATTGAAAACCATCTATTAACCCAAATTGATATTGGTTTGACAAAGATAATCTGAATGAGAATACTAAAAAGGTAATTGTTACATCTATGGGCTCAAATCTCAAAATGAGGATCAATTACAGTTTCCAGTTCTGTGTGTAATTATTCAAATCTGCATTTGACTACCCAATTACTCAGCTTAGGTGTCTAAGTCAGTCTAAGCACAGGGTACTTACACTGCAAAACTGTGCTTGATGACTAGGTATATGGTACTCTGGCTCAAGAATTAGAGTGACAAATTATGTTCTCATAAGAAAACTAATTGGTGCACCTCTAGTACACGCTGCCAGGAAGGGACAAATTGGATAAAATCTGAATCTGCCACTTTTGTAAGGCTTACACTTCTTATGCCGGGCTTGCACCTTTTTCTCTGGAAGATCTGTATTCCTGGTCATCTCCTGCTCCTATAACAATAATCCATGGAGGGGCAGGAGCTTCCGTCCTGCTCCTTCGTGTTGGCAGGAAGCCAGAGTGGGATATGCAGAGACGTCCCTTTGCACTGGTGATGAATTATAGGGACAGTCGCGCTTCCGTTCCCGCTAGTCTTCTGGAGTGATCACACCTCTGAGGAGCTCTGAGACATTGTTGCAACAAATACACTACAAGTCCAGCAACTACTGTAGTTTCAATAATTTTAAGTAATTTGAAAATATTACAGTGAAATATTACAATGCCTATACAAATATTTAATTTTTCATTATTTCCCCCAGTATGTAAACAGACATGTATTTTTGGTGATGATGCACATATCTTGTAAAATCCTTCACATACACAAGGTGTGTCATGGCTTACCTGGGTCACCATTAGGACCGGGTGGTCCTATGTCACCATTATCTCCTTTTTCACCTAAAGACATGAAAAAGAATATAAATTTAAGGCAGCTTTTTTGGTCAACAGTTCATTTAGCACTTGTTTATTTTTTCTCTAGTAACATTCAAATGTAGAAAGTAGAAATATGCCCAAGCAAAAATAAAGATTTTTCTGTGCTAGTTGTTCCACAACAAAGGCCAGCCAAAGTTATGAAACTTGAACACAAAGAATATGTACCAATATCCATTTTTTGACAGTTATGAACTTCACAGAACCGATAAATTCAGATGCTGTAGAGGGAAAAGGACTGGATATGCTACAGTGATGCCTAAATCTAGATTCATAATCTAGATGCTTAGGTAAACGTTGGTCCAAATGACATAACCAACGTCACATAGGAAGCCTATGGGGTAGGCAAGATTAGAATTCAAGTCTTCTGGCTCTTAAGAGTGTGCCAAAATACAGTGCATCTTCCCATCTGCTTCTCTTAACTGTCCACACTTGTGTGATGGTGCACAAAGTTCTTTATTTAGCCTTAAACCAGGATTCTCACCCTGCTTTAAGGCCAAATATACTGCTGTCAGAGCGAAAGGTAACTGGCTGAGAGATCTCAGCCATCTGGCTGACTACAGTATGAGAAACTCCCTATTATGGTAAACTCTGAGACTTGTTAACTATTTTTCAAGCCCCTAAAGTTTTCTCAAACATAAACGATCACAGATTTTTCATCTGAAACACAAATGGAGAAACAATTGAACTAAGCATACCTTTTGAACCAATAGGACCAATTTTTCCATGTCGTCCCATGCTGCCTTTCTGTCCTTTGTCCCCCATTTCTCCTATACATAACAGAAAGACAAAAGACACAAGGTGGCAATGTAGTCTGATTCATTCAGATTCTAGCATGCTTGCAATACCAGTTTTTACAGTGAGCAAAAACACGCTATATCCCCAATATTCATTGAACTCCAGAGGTCCAGCTCACTCCTTGTGAAGAACTTACATATAACAACCTAGACAGTGATTTAATCTTCGCAAAGCAATTGACATTAAACAGGCATGCAGGTGTAAATGAAAATGGATCTTGGCTGAGAGCCACTGGAAAAGTTTTTTACAAACTTCTCTCAGATGACCATGCCAGAATTAAGTTGAAAATGAGTAGGGATTGCATTCAAACATGGATCAGTGGATTAAAACTATCATGGAGCTGAGAAGACCTAAAGGATCCAAGCACAACTGACAGTTTTGTCTAATACAGTAGCTCCACTGTAACTGAGGGCTGAATTTGGACTTAATGGCTTATTTATACAATATAAACACTGTAGAAGCAGTCACATCCTCATTCTTTGCTCTTGCATTTGAAGATTACATTAATGAAAAATGAAAATTAATGGAAATCTTACATCAACTTATATACATATATACACAGACACATGCACATGTTCATACAAAGTCTGACTCAAACCAGCAACATTGAATGTTACTAGTTTTAAAGACAGTTCTACAGAATACTTCAAAGTGCAGTTGTAGCAAAGGAGCTGCTAAAAAATCATTTTCCTCAGCTATGTTTTTACAAATAAAAGGCAACTATCCACCTCTTAAGGTCAATTGAAATTGTCAACAAATCTGCATGAACCAGCCACTGTTACCTATCTGTGTCCATGAGGCATACCCAGAAATCTAACGTAAGATAGCTTGATTCACTTACTTTGTCTGACCTTGACCTCTTTTCTATTAGTTGTACTTTCCTGTGTGATGTAAAGTGAATATTACAACGGCTTCAGGGGAAACAGAATTTGCACTGGAACAGGCAGTTTCTTTGCCATCATTGTCTTCACAAACCAAGCTGAAGCACTGTTACTAATAAAATGTGTGCCACAGTCCAAGTATTGATGTCATTGATCTGAGCTCCTCCAGAGCTCAAATAATAAAACAGATAAAACATGCCTGTTACGTTATACGGTTTTTCTGGATGGCATTTCTCAAACATTATGAAAAATAATTATCTTAATGGTGTGAATCTGAGAGAAGAACTTAAGCCTGTAATAGCAAAGCCTTATTCAACCCCATGTCTACAGAGCTCATCTACAAGTTTAGGGGATCAGCAGTTGAAATTAATAAGCACTAGTCACCTAATAGAGTAAATACAGCAGGCTTACACATAACTGAAGGTTTTGGCTTAAACCAAGCCATTTATAGTCAATAAACTCTACATGGTCTAAGCTTGTCAGATTATTATTTCTAAATGATACTTTGGTTCTGGCATTGGTTTAGAGAGGATTCCCTGATTTGTTTTAGGTAGACTTTCTGAGACCTATGAAATGAGACCTGTCATATTGTTACACTCACTATGTAGTGAATGTGTAGATCATTTATGAATGATCTGGATGAGGGGATTGAGTGCACCCTCAGTAAGTTTGCAGACGACACCAAGTTGGGCGGGAGTGTTGATCTGCTCGAGGGTAGGATTGGAAACTCTGATGCCGTTTTCCTGACGGCCCGAGGAGCCTCAGGGAAATAATACCGCATCTCAGTGTACATTGGTGATACCCTTTCCTGGGTGCAACACCTGAGCAAATTAATGCTCTGCCATCAGATTTAGGCCTCTTTGTATCATGATTTCAAGAAGAAACGTGGTCTGGAGGCAGCACAGCTGTGCAGCTATGTCATGAGATAGGTTTCCCACTGTACCACACAGTATCAAAGGAGAGCAGGTATGGAGGGACTACAGGGACGAGAAGCCAAATGCCTTCTGAGACTCCCATCCTGCAGAAACCCAAGACCAAGACTGCTTTAGGAAATACTGATGCAGTTTTTTCAATGTTTGTTGAAAAGATTGTTTCTTTGCTCAAAGCAACTTCTGTTATGCACTGTTTGGCTACACAGGAGCAAGGAATCAATGAGCCAAGTTAGGAGGAAAAGCTACCATAGGGATCCAGCAGTTGAACGTGTGTAAATTGTCATAGCTCAGCCTCAGTTGTGGATCCACGACAACTGTTGCCCTCTGTTGTTACTGGAACTGGACAGACAGCCACATATTTCCTCTATATATTTTTTAAAAGCTGGATATGACCCATTTCATCATTACCTTTAACTTAAAAGTGTAATCAGGAACAAGTTTCAGAATATAAACTGATCACCACTGGGCTAAGAGATGTCCTCTGTATTACTCCATGAAGTCTCAAGCAACTGTCACTTGATGGCATGAGTCAGGAAGAAATAATTTCCTCTGAACTGAGAGAAGCCAAACGTGTATGGCTTGTTGGTCTAATTAATTACTGGCAATCCTACAATCAATGATTTCCCTTTGTTTTCAACAAGGATCAAATTCAGTCATTACTAGACATGGACTCGATTAGGAAATTTTACCAGAAACCAAAAATATTTTTCTCTTATGCTATATATTCCTACTGGAAGAATGGAAGTAATCCATTCAGCCAGCTGAAGATCTACTTTCGGGAATATAGCTTCACTTTCAGAACAGATTCGTGGCTTGCCTTAAAGATGCAATCCGTTGGGCTGCACAGGTTATAAAGGTACTGATGCTACCAATTGGATATTTATCCAATTTAGATAGTATATTGAAAGGGTATTTCCTTGAAAATCTCTAAAGTATCAGCTTGTAACGAGTTTATCAAGTTGCTCTGAAAGTGACCGTTCTTGCTTTGGACATTTATGTATTGGGATTACCATAACAGATTGTCAGATGTTTGAATGCTTTCTCTGTTCAGGCTGCTACACCTGAAATTAAATAAACACATAGATCTAATGCACAAGTAAAATAGAAAGTGAAGTCATTATATATATTATTTCTCATAAATACTGCCCAGAAAATGAACTACTTCTCAGTAATAGCCAGTAAAAGCTACGTGATCGGCTCAGAAGTAAAAGTGTGTTAGCTCAAACAATGAAGACATACATTAAGTCTCCCGTGCTCATTAAAAGAACTGTTTGGATTTGGTTTTCTCTTACAGTGACTAACCCCTGCTTCTATTCCAGGGGTTTGTTTATTCTGCTGCTTCTGCAGAATAAATCACAAGGTTTCAAAAGTTTTAATACCTTTTGTAAAGTCCTTTTTAGTGGCCCTATGATTGCCAAAAATGCAGCCTAAAGAGTCTTAATGAAATCAGGAAGTGAGAGCTGGAAAGAAATTAGGACAATGGAAGAAATTAAGTCTCCATAACCAAAAGTAGGAAATCTATCAGAAAGTTTGAATGGAGAATATGAAGCAAGTCATCTGTCATCTCTCAGATGAAGGTGGTATACACCGGAACCAATTATAGAAGACTTAAAGGATTTTGGAAGGAACTGAAGAGAAGGAAACTCTAAATTATCTTCTTTGTGGCCTTTTCAGGCCCACAAACAAGAGAAGAAATAAAATACCGGAGAGGAATGGTGGGCTGCACAACCAGTGAAAAAATGAGGGCTTTGGCTCTGTGCAACACTATAAATGGGGGTCTTCATACAGTATGGCAAATCTCTTCAGACAGGATTAATTGGAACAGACAAGAAGGTATAAAACTACTTAAAAAAAGAAAAAGGTGTCAAAAAGACAAATCCAGCAAAACCACAAATTTACTATCTCACAGACAAATTGAATTGAATCATGTCAGAGGGAAGAGAGCAGTAGTTTACTTCCCAAACTTAAGGATTTGAAGACAAACCAGACAGAAATTCTTCATGATTTGACATAGCGGATATCACAGACACCTACCTAAAAATGAAAGTAGAAGTGTACCAAACCAGACCAAAGGCCGCTTGACTCTAGTGCCATCTTTGACAGCAATCTGCAGAGGATACTTAGAAAAAGAATGTAAGAAATAAGACCAAGATTACAATGTCTTTCCCCCAGTGTATTTCCTTAGTCTTGCAGCAGTCAGTATTCCCAATGCAAAAATTTAGCCTGACTTGAATGAGAACAGTATTTTTAAAGGATATCATGATGTTATGTATGGTAGCAATCTACATTCAGGACACTTAACTTTTAAAAACTATTGGCAACTGGAAATCAGAAAATTCTGAATACACCAATAGACTACGGTACTGCTTTACGCTAAATAATCTGAATTATCCACACCACTGGCTAGGGAACAGTGGTTACAACACAGTTACATCTTACATGAACAAATAGTGGATAATCCCACTGGGACAAATCCATTATTTGTCCCACTGGGGCAAATTAATTTCACCCAGCATTAGCCACCTGAAAGTTAGGTTTTTAGACTAGGCTATTTATCTAAGCTCCCTTGGTAGGCAATGGAGAAATAAACACCTCTCAGCAGTGATCCATCTCACTCATGTTAGACAGGTATCTTAATGACAAAGTGAAACTTTAAAAGCTTTGCATAACAAACAGGAAAAAAAAAAAAAAGAGGAAACTATTATCAATCCATACTGACTAGAAATCAGAAAGGCTAGAAAATTTGCAAGGGAAACTAAAGATAGTAAGAAAAAAATCCAATCTAGGAAGGCAGAGAAAAGTTTAAAGGACTTTAAAGTACATTCAAAACAAAAGAAACGGAAATAGTATGGTCCATTCCTGAATGGGGGAGTTTATATTCAGATGCACACAAACACAAATAACTGCCCTTATGAAACACATATCTTGCCAGAATTACATTAACAGCATAACACCAAGCTTGTTCAGACCAGTGGTCCATTTGGCCCAACACTCTGATTCCCACAGTGGCAGCAAGAGGTACAATATAGAGAGGTCACACAACCCCAGCCACCATCCTTATGAGGCAGCTCCTCCATCTTCACATTTCTGGTGCCCCTCTCTAATCTCCCATGTCCTTCTTGAGAGACAGAGGCCAGAACCACACTCATGTCAGGTGCA